AGACTTTTGATTGGATGCGTTGGAGCTTAGATGGCGTGACAGAACCTCACAGTTGCACTCCACCAAAGTGGTCGCAACATGCAGTTAGTTTAGTTTTAATGGTCAAGACAGATATCGGACCTAGAAGTCTTCGTACTTGTCCAAGTCGTCTGTTGAGTTGTTGTCTTCTCTTGTGTGGGGATTCCACGTCAGTCTGCTGTCGTATAGCCCTTATAGTCCGTATAGTTTAACTTAAATTTTAGTTTTAACTTAAATGGAAGTCAGTATCTCTTTGTTGTTAATGTACAATGGAGGACAAGACTGTTTTTTCAACGTACACCGAGTACATTTTTCTTCATTCAGCCTTGTCCTCGGCTTTATGCACCAGTCTTCGATAAAGTCAAGATGTTGTTGATGGATGTTGGACATAGCTTGTTTAGGATTCGAGGTAGAGGACAAAATTGCGGTATTGCGATGATGGAATTAGGTTGTAGGTAGGCCAGCAGTATAAATGATATAAAAGGATCGGACCAAGTATGCTCCCTTGTGGGACGACGGCTTATATCTCTCTGACTTTCTAGAACACTGAAGCAACGGTCGGTTAGGATTTCAGTATAAGGTAATAAGGAGGTAGGAAGCTTTTAAGTTTATGAAGTATGCCCGGGTGCCTGTCAAAAGCTTATGCTAAATTTAGGCATAAACCCAAGCAATATTCTTTATTCTCTAGAGCCCAGAAGTGTCGACAACTCAGAAACCTTGTTGGATCATGGATCGCTTCGATTAAAGCGCTTAATAACCATCATAGATACTCATAAAATCATTCCTTCTCACCAATTCAGCTAATCCGCTCTAGATATGAAAAATGAAAGATTTCTGAGAAAAAACGTGTCAAAACGTTAACTTACAGATAAAAAGGATAGATTAGAAAAAATATTTTAAAGAATAAATTATTAATGAAACATACAGGTCTCGTAAAAGATAGAAAAAATATTTTCTGACTCGTCCAATATATACATAATTTTGTATCTTATGTTTCTTTTTAATTAATTGCTACTATTGTGACTTGCACGGTTTTCCTTGAGTCTTTTAGTTTTGAAATTTGGAATATTATGCAACTTGTAAAGAGGCACATCCTTGGGCCGACGTTAATTACTGTAAGATCCGATCGACTTAATTTAAGATCGGTTTGAAAAGCGACCTTGGGCTTCGAAATTTTGAAATTGATATTGCACAAAGAAAATCCATTGTTTTTCTAATTTCTATGTTATCCGCAACCGGCAGTTTTTCTTTTGATTTTTCCTGTTGGTCCTTGTTGCAAAACCTAAGGAAATAATAAATAATTTCTCATTGATATTCTGAGAGGGGTTTTATTAGCCGAGCGTGTTCGACACTCCGGGGGTCTTTCATTGACATGTACGAAAGATAGTGATAGAGATAGTCGTGCTTTAATTGTTAAAAATTATTTTTGATTATTTTTTTTTTTTAATCCGAATTCTACTATCCTTCTGGGGCAGACGGCCTTGGCCTATCTCTACATGCCGACATGAAACCAAGGGGTATTTTTAGTGCTTATATATTACCATAAGTTACGCAGATATCCTGGTAACAAGCATACGGAAGAAAACATCTCTCCTATTGCTTACAAGAAGAAGTAAGCTAAACCTTAATGCACCGACTCTAAGAGAAGAAGACACCTGGTTATATTGCCTTGACCAAACGCTCAAGTGGAAAAGTCATATAAGAATTGGTCAGAGATTGTGCAGTGAAAACTTGGCATACACCAGAACGGTCAGATAGTGGATAGCTTTAGGATGGCCAAAAACTGCAAAGCGTACGAAGATTAACGATGCGTACTTGTCCCATAACAGCGACGGAAAGAGCAATCGATCTCCGACACATTCATGTACCATATGCTTTTGAGAGTGTCTACAGACTCCTGAGATACAAGAAAATAAAACCAGATCTAAGAAGAAGCCGCCATCACAAAATTCTAGAGAGAATTAAAATAAATTAGATGGCTATACATTCAGTAAACAAAATGAGAGGAGGACTCACCTTTGACAGACCTTTCCAAGTGGTCATATTTAACAGAGATCTTTGGAAGCAAAGCAACACCGTTTCAGAAAAGCGCCCTAGAATGGTACCCTGATGGATGGCCGAATTACACTTTAACACTTGGGTTCGTTCCAACTATAGTACAATCTGAGGTTCTTGCCTAAATTGGGAATGCCTAAATTGTCCATACTGTTTACCTATATGAAAAACAATAAAGTTACCTTGAGGTGGGTTCCGGGAAATGAAAATAAGAAGGAAAAAAACGGAAGAACCAACTAAACAAAGAAGGGACAGCTCCCCTCGCCATATGGTACCAGAACCATAGCTAGCACACTGGAGAGTGTGGGAAAATGGCTTGAGGAAGAAGTACTCAAGCACCTGTGGCAAGCTAAGAAATTTATAAATCTCTCAGAAACGAGATATCGGTAATGCAATTCCCACGTCAAGAGTAGTGCGCAAAGAGGCACTGAGGAGTTTTGAAGGAAAAAGTGCAGTTTCCACTGTGTGGTCATAACGAAGGGGGTTATCAGTGGAAAGAAGGTTGGACTCCTGAGAAAAAAGATAATAAAAAAGGACCCTTTTGAAAAGTTTTCTTGTTCGCTGTTTCATTTCTGATTCTTTTGTACGGCATCGGGAGTTTCAAGGTTGTCACCAAAGGATGTGTTGCAGTAATAAGACCGAGAGTTGTTACTATTTAATTATTTATTTAATTGTTGTTATTAATTTAATTATTTTAATTTTCCACTTAGAATTAAAACGAATTCTCTAATTGTGACGGGAGAAGCTGAAGTTTTTTTTTCAGACGTCCTTTTGTTGAGTTAAAGGCTAATAGTGTAAGTCATCTGAGTTCGACCTTTAACGTAGGCTATCAGAAGAACTGAAACTAGTGCTCAATGGATGCCTCTAAATATCAGCAACTACTTCAGACAAAAAATTCAGCAGATTCAAAATCTTAAAAGAAAGACTGCTTAACGGTACCAACTTTTCTGCAACATCGATAAGAAATAACAAAATATCCAAATATGTACTGATGATAATCATCCATTTGTTTGCAAATATTATCGGGAGTGGGTATGTAGATTTTCTTTTTGTAAATGATGGTTCAACTTATAGATTTGTTTAAAGCAGATTAATATTATTATAATTATAAATTAGTAATTAATTTATATATTATTAATAAATTAGTTGTAAACAATAAATCTGTGAGTAGAACCATCATTCACAAAAAGTGGATATTATATGTTGTTTTTTATAATGTATTTGTCTTTAAATAGTCTAAATTTTAAGAAGAGAATAACTTTGCTCTCCGGAATAACTTGCAAGTCTTCGGTCTTCAAGACCTAATAAGAGGACAAAATTTTTACTGTTTTAACTTTTTTAAACTTGCACGACAGTACAATTGTACGATTTTATCCTGAGCAGTGAGAAAAAATGGAATTAAGCCAGTTGATTTTAAAAGGAAAAAAAAATCAACCAATCTCTGTTGGTGTAGGCATTTTTGTGAAAACTGACAATCGAGTAGATGTATTGGTCTTTTTCCATATTTGATGTGTATCATCTATGTTTAGGATAATCCAGGCCCATTGCAAAAGAAATCCCTTACGATCTCTTACTCATCATAGTTAAAATTGGAGAAGAAAACCTAGGATGTGTCTCCTCATTGCGGATAATTTGCCTGCAAATATTTTCGATCTTGTTGAAGTCTTTGCCTTTGATTGACGGTTTAATTTCTGAGTGCTGTGTCATCGAAATTTTCAGCTGAGATCAGAGCTGGTTTGTTCGGCCCTGGGACCAAATACTAAGAAAGTCAGAACCCATGGGAAATTACGCCAGTTTCTTCAAGGCTGAAATCCACGCAGTTGAGAGCTGCACTCAGTTCACCAACAAGATAACAAAAACAAGAACATAGTTATCATGTCAGACAGTCAGGCACTAAGCTCAAACATAATTTAAAAAAAACTACTTACTGCCAGATTATGTAGGCATTTCTATCAAAACAATCAAGTAGGTAGACTACTCTACATTTGTCCATATTTTGTGTGTATCATCTATCTTTAGGATTATGCAAAACTATCCGAAACCATTGAAAAAGAAATCCTTTACCATCTCCCGCTCATCCTAGTCAAAAATAGACAAAAACCGAAGAAGGGTGTCGTCCTCAATAGGCATAATTTGTCTGCGAATATTTTCGGCTCTTACTGACGGCTCTGCCTTTGAATTGACGGTTTAATTTCTGAGTACTGTGCTGTGAATAAGTTATAGCTTAAGAAGAAAAAATTTACATAACTGAAAAGTAAAAATATTTGTTTGGTAGTTTTAGGCATAGGTTTAATTGATTTGATGTTGTCCAAGTTTGTTTAGCTAGTAACAGTCGTTTCCATATGTATCAACTATCTTTAGGATAATGCGAAACTATCCTGACCCATTATAAAAGAAATCTCTTACCATATCTGACTCATCATGGTCAAAAAAGGACAAAAAACGTAAGAAATGTGTCCTCATTATGAATAACTTTTCGACAAATATTTTCACTTTTTGTTGACTTTTTTACATTTGAATTGTCGGTTTAAATTCTGAGTTCTGTGACCTAAGCTGTTGAAATTTTCAGCGGAGATGATTGACCAGCCTGTCTTTAAGACAAGGAAGACGATCTTTTTGTTGTGTTTTTGCCTAGAAGATCTTTTCTGTTTGTTAAAATTTCTGAACTTTTACAAATACCAATCGGTGGTTTTAAGAATGAATATCTCAAATCAAATAAGTATCTGAAACTATTATTGGTTTTTCCGTGCAGTCAAGAACACTCTGGATTAAGGTATGGTATTGAAGAAGAAAGCAAATTAGTTGTTACTGCCAAGCTTCGACCTATTTTAAAGTCATCATCAGGGAAAACCAATCTTAAATATTCTACAGATTGACAAGTTGATTAAGTTTTTTACAGATGATCTCAAATTTCCTCGAAGACCGGCTCAGACCCAACATTACCATGGACTGAAACAGTATTTTAGTAAATATGTAGCATACTGAAAACAGAAACTTCATAAGGACAAAAAGGGATGGCCGTTTTAGGTCATATTGTACAAGTTTATGAATCTTCAGTCCATAAACAGTTCAAAGAAAAAGGCAAGATGACATTAAGTACACTTAATGATAACAAATGTGTAACACATCAACCAAAAAATTTCTTTTAAATAATCCAGCAATGCTCGCTGGAATCGCTGTGGTAAGATACAGCTCAAGAAGAAAAAATGTTTATGACTGAAAAGTTTAAATACAAGATTTGGTGTTAGCCAGGTATGTTTAATTCATATTGTTTAAAAATCTTTTGTGTTGTTCAATGATGCTAAGAATTTGTTTTAAAGATCAAGCAGTAGTTTCAAGAATTCAGAATGTTCTTTAAACAGAACCTACACCTACTAGGACCTCAGGGTTAACTGGATATCTTAAAACGATAAAAATTAATCAACAAATTTAGTGTTAACATATGTTTTAATAGAAAATATCAGAACATATTTATACAGCTATACAAGCATCATTTTCTACTCGCCAGGATCTTAGAATTCTTGTAGGTCACGCCCACAGACACCAATATTAGTATATTTAGACATGGTAAAGTGTGGACGCAAGGTTTCAGGTACCCTCTACGCCAGTTGAACAGGGGTAAATCCGCCGGCTCGGACGGCCAAAATAATGGTAACGAAGAAGAAATACAACTGCCACCCGAGCCCGCGCACTGCTGCATGTCCGGCTGTCCCAAATGCGTCTGGATCACGTATGCAGAAGAGGTCGAGAAGGTCTACAAAGACGGTGGTAAGAAGGCCAAAAAGGTGATTCTGTCGAGAATAAAAGACGTCAACTTGAGAGCGTTTTTGGAATTGGAACTAAAAAAGGTGGAAGAAAAGACTCGCAATTCGCCAGATTGACATCAGAACACTTGGAATGTCTTATCAGCTTTATAACAATAAACTATAAAAAGAACTCTATTAATCCATTTATGTTTAGTGGTCTAATTGACCATATTAATTATTTCAATTAATTTCTCTTTTTATGTAAGGTCTTGGGTTGAGATGAAAAAGTTAGGGTCACAAGCGGGATTTGAACCCATGACCTTCGGCTAGGGGGTTCGAACTCCGCTCGTGACTCATGCTTTAAAACTTTATCAAAAATTTGAGCTATTGTATTCCCCGTTAACCAAAGACTATCAAGTATTTTATTAGTAGGCATGGTTTCAACAGTTGAATTTCTTCTAAGGTTCTGCGTGACTAAAACCACCCAGAGAGCCGAAATTGCCTAGGGGAGGTGCAGAAGGCTCTGCGCCAAAAATTGGAGTTTAAACCCCAAAATGACCCTATGGCTATACACCTGCTTCTTAAATGCAGTGTTGAAATATGGGTCGGTGGTGTGGTGGACCAAGACTCTGCAGGCCAAAATAATCAGGCTCTTAAGTAGCAGGTAAGACAAGTCTGTCTCAGTCTCATTGGGGCCATGAGCATAACGCCAACGGCGGCCCTAGAAGTATTGTTAAACCTCCCAACACTTCATATTTTAATCCAAGGAGAAGCCAGAGCAGCAGCCCACAGGCTCATAAATGGACAACCATCTGCAAGGATAGGCCATGTAACTAAACAATGGAAACTGAGGGAGGAGATACAGGCAGGTGCCAAATGGCCATATGCCACTACTCGAAAATAAAATTTTACTCTTTTAGGTACTGATTCTAGAACGGGAATAATGGGCCAAAAAGCACTGCTAAAGGTAAACTCCTACTGTAGTCTTCGGGATGAATCCAAAGACCAAACTGACGGTAAACCTAGGTAAATATGGTACAGTTTTCCAGTCTGAAATCATAGCGATTGAACACTGCACCAGGGAAATAAAAAGGCTAGGAATACATTCCCGGAAAATAATTATCTTCTCGGACAGACAGACAGCTCTAATGAACCCTACTGTGGCTTAGCATCCTGCCACGAAAGAGGTTAGATCTTAAAATGGATCGATCCTTAAATAGTCCAAATTGTGGTGGAACAATACCACAGGCATAAGGCACGCGAAGAAATTCATAGGAACGTACAAAGGAATTATTGGAAGGGAACTGCAACCGAATCAGGATTCTGGTGGGACTCCTGACAGGACATGTATGTTTCCCATTGGGGGTCGCAATGACATTATATAATAAGGTTCTTTAACGTGTGCTCCTGGCACATAGGCCTTATCACACGTTTAGACCTCCTGACTGGTCACTGTCACTTAAGAAAGCATACAGATACTGCCAGGAAGTGGAGGAGACCGCAGAACAAACTTTATGTTTCTGTACAGGTATATCTACTAAGGAGCCGCTGGCAAGGCTATGGAGGCTGATTAACATCCTAAAGATGGCCAGTGAGTTATAAAAAACAGGGGAGCACAATAGATCTATTCAGGCCGAGGTGCAGAAGGCCATGCGACCGCATCTTTTATCGCTATCCCCATCCCTACGGTTCTGCAGGCATTGTAGCACCACAGTTTTTTAGTAGGTGCGTGGTGTCACATCTGCTTCCTTGCAGAATGTGCACGTTCCGTGTTGGATACATCAATCTTCCTTAAATAGGATTCGAAATTTACCTTGATTCCTTTTATGTAATCTGTTCTTTCTTTCCTTCCAAAATTCGATAAGAGGTTCTTCGTCGTCGTCGAGTGTGAATCCCTAGACCCTATGCCACAGAAGGGCTCTGGACCTATCAGCAGTATAGCCCCTTTACCATGGCCTCCGATTTCTCTTCTCTCTACTCCTCCAGGAACCCGGCAGAGAATAGATTTATTTAACATAACTAATCAATTTAATTTAGTTATACTTTTCAATACATTTTTAATTATGTTTGAGCTTAGTGTCGTCTACCTGACATGATAGCTATGTTCTTGTTGTTGTTGCCTTGTTGAACTGAGTGCAGCTCTCAATTGTGCGGATTTCAGCCTTGAAGAAACTGGCGTAATTTTCCATGGATTCTGAGTTTCTGAGTATTTGGTTCCAGGGCCGAACAAACGAGCCCCGACTGGTGTTTTCTACATCTCAACTGAAAATTTCGATGACACAATAATCAGAAATTAAACCGTCAATCAAAGGCAAAGTCTTCAACAAGAATCGAAAATATGTATTTGCAGACAAATTCGCAATGAGGAGACATGTAGGTTTTCTTCTCCATTTTGCGAGGTAGTGATGAGCAAGTGATGGCAAGGGATTCCTTTTACAATGGGCCTGGATAGTTTCGCATTATCCTAAACATAGATGATACCAAATATGGAAAAAGACCGTCACATCTCGATTGTCTGTTTTCACAGAAATGCCTTCACCAACAGAGATTGGCTGATTTTTTTCTTTTAAAATCAATCGGATTAATTTAATTTTTTTAATTATTGCTCAAGATGAAATCGAACAATTGTACTGACGCGCAAGTTAAAACGTAGTAAAACTGGAAAACTATTGTCGTCTTAGTCTTGAAAACCGCAGACTGGTGGGAAAAGTTCTCTACGGAAATAAACCGTCTATTCAAATATAAAGACTTTACAAAAAACAACCGATAATATTTACAGACAAATCATTGTGTGTCATCAGGACATGTTTGTGTTATTTTTTCGTTTCTTATCGATGATGAGCGGAAAGATTACGGTATTCGTACAATCATCTCAAAATGGTGGGATTCCCCTCGTAATTGGTGGTTAGTCTAGCATTATCCTAAGGATAGATGATAAATATTTAATTGAAGAAACGGTTTCAAATCGAAAGTCTGTTTTTACAGGTCTTTCTTTATCTTCTGGAAAAGAAGAGGTATTTTTCTGTCTTGATTCAATTTTTTCCACAAGTGGCACGACATTGTCCACAAATTGCAGTTCTTTTGCTGGCCATACTCAAGCGTGTCTTTCTCTTTGAAAATGTCATTTATCGATTCTAAAATCAGCTACCTTAAACCTGAAAGATCACTTACTGAAAAGATTAGTTTCTAAGGTAACTGTCCATAGAAAGTCAGAAAAACTAAGCATAAAGAAGCACTACAGACGCTTCTTTCACGACAAACGATAATCTATGAATTATTCAACGAGCAGGCACCTCTACTTTATAAGCGCCGGGTTCGAATCCATTCAATCGAACCCGTCATACTTAGAACAAATGTTTGTTTTTTGTGTTCAAAAATACCGGCACACACGAGGGTTGATATGACCTCATAAAAAATCCTTCCTTCTGGATTAATGTACCGTCAAAATAAAATGAATCAATTTTTTGTAAATCAGATAATGCCATAGATTATAGAGGATATACATAAATATGAATGAAGGTCATACTGATTAAAATTATTACATAAATTACGTGATGTACTTTACAGATGGCTGGAATTTTCAACCACGCGTGAACACGAAAGGAAGCCAATAGAATTAATTAGAAGAGGTTTTTCTATACAAGCTTTGGTGGTAAGTCATGAAAGGAAAATCTTTTTTTATTAAAAGTGGAAATCGTGGTCACTAAAGATAATTTGTGTTTGAAATATAGGTCCATTACGTTCAACAGCTATATTTGGATGTATAACACAAACAATACTGGGATGCACGGTACGGCAGAAATCACGTACCTAATAAAGACAGTACAGATTATTTTACAACAAAGAAACAAGCCTAAAAAGATATCCTTTCTTGTCTTTTCTTTAGGTGCGTGTACATTTTGTGCGTCCAAATGTCAAAGGAAAGGTTGTCACATAATCGTCTTCGCAGGCCGGCGTTTTTTCCCGTCACCATCAGGAGGGGGGAAAGTTATAAAATCGACGCGAATTATATATAATGACGAAATGAAATTATGAGAACAAAGAAAACGATTTTCATTCAAAGTTTACCAAGTGACGAAGTGTAGCTAATCATGTTCAAGTGGGGGTGCAATGAATAAGGCAGAAGACCAAATCGCGTTCAGTCTGCTTTTGGCATCCGACCAATCATATATTCGGAAAACAAAATTTCTTCACCAATCAAGGGTCTTCCAGTTTAGAAAATTTTGTGACTTCGGTTATTAAATAATTAAACAATAATATTTAATTGTAATATGTGTTAATTAAAAGAAAAAAAGGATGAATTATAAATAAAAAATTACATTAAGATGAAATCTGTAAGAAGACAGGCTGAGTACCTCTATCATCTTAAGAATTTGCCTTAACGGATTTGACACCTTGATAATTTTACATATTTATTTATGATAATATAATAAGCATAATTATAAAAAATGCACTTTTCCCTGAGACACTATCTGCATTATATTCCTTTATTGCAATGGTTATCAACATACAAAAGGGAATATGTCATACCTGATATAATTGCTGGCTTGACAGTTGGTATAATGATGATACCGCAGTCAATTGCTTATACGACTTTAGTTGGAATAAGGCCGCAGGTAATTAAAACAATTTTTTAAAAATAAAATTTATACATGTATTTTTTTTTCAGTATGGTCTCTACACTTCCATAGCTGGAGGAATATCGTATGCAGTTTTCGGTAATGTGAGGCAAGCTACGATTGGACCATCGGCGATTCTTACACTTCTTTCGTACCAATTCGCCCATGAAGAAAATCCCGAGCTGATCGCACTCATCACGTTTTTAATTGGGATCACAGTTCTCCTCTTTGGATTTTTCAAATTGGGTAAGTCTTGATTAAATTTTGTAAATATTCTACTCTTGACGATTTTCACAGGAACGCAATAATAAATATCCGGTTAAAGTGGCCCGATGTTGTCCGAGGTAGGTCAAGACGTTTGACAAAATTAGGATAAGGCCGTCGTGTCAATCTTAGTTAAATATAATGCCTAGATTCACTCTTGTCCCACTACTGAGATTGCACTAAATAACCCATTTCCTGAGTAGAAATTACTTAAAAGTGGAAAATCCTTCAAGGACAAGTTTTATAATATCCACCTAAATCCAAAAAGTCACATTTATACATTAGTAAATTCAACAATATTAATATCAGTTCAACAAATTCAACCACCCTTCACCAAAGAATAATAAAATTGAAAATTGAAAACTGGATTTTTTGCCGAATTTAAAATTCTTATTGGATTGTGTCATTATTGACCATAGTAGGGTAATAAGATTTTGTTTTCTAATGATCTTAAAAACTCATAAAAAAAGGACTAAATTTCAAGTACTAATGCAACTCTGACATACAGGTTTTTTGTAATATTAATTTTGCAGTAAGATAAACTATAGACAAAAAGGTGGAAAAAGTAGACAGTATTTTCGATAAATTTCTTAAAAAGAAAAGCTAATAATTTACAATTTAAAATTTTAGAGGTTGATTATTATAACTTTAAGGTAATAAAGAATGATTTTTTTCAAATAAATTTAATATTTGTATTGGTAATGTCATTATCGGTTTTTGAACCCAGTAATATTTGTGTTGGAAGAAAACCAATTTCAACTCAATCAGTAGGCAAAACTGTAGTAACACAAAGAAAACAAGTCAAATACTTGAAAATTTCAGATCTTGAGTTTAATCATTTTAATTGATAATAATATTAATGGCTTTTAATAGATTCATTATCGAAAGTGTTGTTGTTCACGTATAAGGTATGAAAATATATTTTTGTATAAATTTTACGTGCTAAACTCAGAAAAATGTTTATAATGTTTAACAAAACTCAAGATATTATTCAAATGGTGTTGTAATTAAAAGAATTGGGAGAAGAACAATGGTTATCTAACTATAGTTATCCATATCTTGTAAATACTGTTGGATTACATATTGTACAAAAATACAGATTGTAATAAAGAATTAGTTTGAAAAAAAAAATGTTCAGAAAGAAAATTAGGACTTATCAGCCCATTTTAAACTAAAAAAATTAAATAAATAAAAAAATAAATAGAAAAACACACTTATTAACAATAAATAAAAAGGGGGTAAAAGAATGGTTAGACTAAAGAAAATTGTAATTTGGTCAACACCAAAAATACAGATTGTAATAAAGAATTAGTTTGAAAAAAAAATTGTTCAGAAAGAAAATTAGGACTAATCAGCCCATTTTAAACTAAAAAAAATTAAAAAAATAAAAAAATAAATGAAATGGTCTATCTGATAGACAAACACATCGAGGTTAGGCAGACCAGAATGATCAGGTAACGATCAAATTTCAGGTTCAACTACCTGAAGACCATTCAAAGAAATCTCACAAAAACACTTAAACTTGCGTTTAATTTTTCCTTTGAAAAAATCTTAATATTAATTATAACCTAATTATCGATGATGTTCACAAGCAGTTATGAATTTAATCAATTTGTAAAACAAAACAATTGACGCTAAGTTTTTGGAACATAGATCAAGTTTCACTGATTTTCACATCTTTTTCACAGTTGGGTGCGTGGTGTGCGCTGTGTATTGTGAGTGTGGGTTTGTTTCATGATCGCTCCCACGACATTGTAGTGTTAACACAGTGGAATTGTTTGTGATTTGGCACCCACTGGAAGTGATTTGATACGAAGGGATTTACCTTGTCAGCAGTGACTCCCTCAACGTGATTAAACTGGAGAATAATGAAAAGATTGATGAGGCGGCTAAGACCAGGACATCCCAACCTCTGGACATAACCATTGCGATCTAGCCCCTGATGCTAAAAGTGCAATAAAAAACATGATTAAAAGAAAGTGGTAGTATCAGTGGGTCGTATCAGGCAAAGAAGCTCTTGTACATCAAGAGTCGATAGGTGCCCCTCGGAGGACATGACCCATAGAAAAAGGATCATCTTTAAGGTGCCACCATACAAGATGGACACTTAATTTTGGGCCAAAGCCCCTGTATGTGTCCAGCATTCAGAGAAATTTTGCTCGATGTGTCCCACCTAATTACACAAGGAATTGCCACAGAAGTGGCTCCATATAAAGAGCATGTAGGAATGCCACCCAACATGAGAATTGTCGCAAGCAGCGAGTATCTGGTTCTCCTGTTTCGATTCTTGGAGGAAAGTGTTTTAGTGTATATAGTACTGATAGTTTTGGGTCCCTAGCGTATGTTGAGAGTGAATGTATTTATTGGCATGGAAGTGTAGTGTGAGAGGGTCGTTGGTGGAATATTGAGTACTTCATCAACCTCAATTATATGATTTATAGGTGTAAAGGTTGATGGAGTAATATTGAGTATTCCATCACCCTTACTGAGTGAATGGTTACAATAAGTAAATATATTTAAGTGTGAGTGAAAGTGTGAATGGATGAACCTCGGCGGCTGGGTGGGTGATTCTTGAAGCCTGCCGGTAATTTATCGTAAATTATAAAAGCTGAAATTACCAGTGGACTGTGAGAAGAGATAGGCTTAACTTACATGTATGTATGTATGTACATCCGTGTGCAGATTTGAGCTTATATAAATCAGTAAAACATTGACACTTGTGATTGATCTCATAATTTCCACCATTTATTTCAAATGGAATGTTAAATTTGTTCTAACAGGTAGATTGCAATCCTGGAGCTTTACAGATTTAAAGTATAAAACAAAAATACTAGTAATAAAATCAAAGTTACAATGTTTTTAATGGAATCATGCACAATATTTGTTTATTTTGTTTCATACTACGAGGAACTTTCTCCCTGAATATGCTACAAAACCGAAGTGTTTTTAAATAACAACAAAAACTGCGAGTGTAGACAGATCCAGCAAGTGACCCAGTGCAGTGACTTCTAGACACTCCACGATCAATTATATTTGTATGGTTGAAATTTCAAATTGATTGCCCCCGAGAGTCTATAATCTAAGACCAGAATTAACTTTACATTTATAAAACTAGAGTTATTAAGTGTCGGCAATTAAATGAAATATTTTGAAGAATTCTGGGTTAAAGGAATTCCTAAAAATGCTGGGTTTTGCTAAAGTTTTAAAAAAATTATTTCCGAAATACTGTTCGAACTATAACTACACATATTACCTACAAATTAGTTTACTATATACATTAATAAATCTGTTTAATTCCAAAGAGTATGAATACAAAAATAATCACAAATGCAATTTAATTCTGGTGGGTTTTCCACTTTTGCTGAATGAATAGATAATTTCTGTAAAAACTGTTATTAAATGTGGTTAAATCATGATCCAAAAAGAAACACTTCTTGACTTGATTTCTTTTTCAATTTTTATTTATTTTCCTTTTGCTTAAAACTAATCCTTCCCCCATTAGTCTTTTGTTGACTAATCATCATGATAGCACCTCCATAGCATCCCTGATGGTGAAGAGCTTTTGGAGTTCTTCGGTAAAAATTGTAAACTATTTTATTACATTATATAAAATGGAAAATATGACATAATTGGCATAAACTACACTGATTACTGATACAACTAAAAAAAAACAACAAAAAACAACTTCATTGAGTCTTGTTATTCATTGAGGTCCATTTATATGGTGAGAATTTCCCACCGTTATGCAACAAATATGTATGTATTTTTTTTTTTTTGATAATTGAAATGCTTGTTTTATACACATTTTTATAATGTTTCCCATAACTTCCAAAAAGAAACTAAAAGAAAATTATCTTATGAATTTCTTATCGGACAAAGAAAATATAACTATTTATGTCATCCTTATGAAATTTTCACTACTTTCTGTATGAAATTTACTACCTGTACTTTCATGCTATTAGGAATGATTTGAAACAAATTTATATAAATTCTCACAATTTGTACTAAAAATATTGATTTCCTTTTTTTTTTGTTAGGATTTGTGATTGACTTTGTTTCGACGCCAGTCATATCTGGCTATACGTCGGCAGTTACTCTAGTCATATTCGCCTCACAGATCAAAGGCCTATTGGGTATCAAATTCAAGGCCGAAAACTTTCTTTCGACGATCTGCAAGCTGGTCTCAAACATTAAATACACGAGGGTTCCTGATGCCACTCTCGGCATATGTTGTTTCCTGTTTCTTATGTCCTTTAAGGTGAGTCTTTGCTCCTTTTTTGATATTTGTCATTTGAAAGCAGTCGTGATTCAGCACACTACACGAATTTTAAACGTGGGATTTCAGTGCCACCAAGAAGCACATTAAACACTGGGCTAATTTGGCATTCATGGCTTCAACCTTTTGAATTGCTTTGCAATCTAATTGCTTTAAAACTGATTGGGCTTCAAATAAATGGATAAATCTTATTTTACATACAGTAGAGCATTAAAATTACATCTTGGTATCCAGTCAATTAAACATTCTGATTTTGACACAGATTTTGAGTATACGTTTAAACCAACTTGACAGAGAAATCCTGATGAGCAAAATTAATTGTATTATTTGTATTCAGTCCTTAGAAGTTTTGGCTTCACTTTTTATTTTTTTATCTCTGTTGAATCGGAATGTGCTACTAAAGTTTTTATTCAGTTCAACAACCCAATACTAAAATGTTTGTTTACAGCAAATCAAGAAGTGGAAATATCTAAAGGATAGTAAGGGATTTTTCTACCTGTCTGTTGCAAAATGTGCTTTGACTGTATTTGTTTCAACGTTGATTGCTGTCTGCTTCGATAAAAATGGCCAGCAGCCTTTTTCAATAACTGGTGCTTATTATTTAAGGGAGACGTTTGCCATTTTAACAACATGAATATGCTTCTAGGGAACATAACTGGCGGGCTCCCACCTGTCAGACTGCCGAATTTCACACCGATGTTTGACGGTGAAAAGCAAAGTTTTTATCAAATCCTGTCTAAACTCAGTTTAGGTTTGCCGACTATTACATGCATAGCGATTATAACAATGATTGTTATAGGAAAAGCGTACAGTATGGCAATTTAAATATGAAATTAAAATTTAATAAAAGACTAATTAATCATAAAGTTTCTGAGTAGCTAAAGGAAGACAGTTGAATACGACTTATGAGATACTTGCACTTGGTGGGTCCAACGTACTCGGCAGTTTCATTGGCTCCATGCCCGTTACAGGATCTTTTTCAAGAAGTGCTGTCAACAATTCTTGTGATGTTAAAACACCAATTTCAGGAATATATTCAGGTAATTTATTTTTAAATATTTGTGACTTCATGCTGATCTTCCATAACTTTATTAACCAAAAAGATCCTTTATAAAATATAAACAATAAAATAACATTGCTATAATATATTAAACAATAAAAATAATAGTAAAACATTTGTTGAATTTTAGTTATTTTTTTTTTTTATAGTCTTGGTTTGTCTATACTTGCTCGTTTGGTTTGTCTGATGTGTTTCAGCATTTCACCTCACCCTGCTTATATCCCTAACCAGTCACTGAATATGTCAAAATTCCAAAAAGTGTCTGCAGACTAAAACTGCGAGAATAGGCAGATCAAGATGTTCAAAATGACTATGCTAGAATTTCATCACCCTCAACCTCAAGAAATCTCAAAGTTTTCATTTCAGATTTTTGTTGTCAATGCAGACTAAACATATAATTTTTTCCCCAGCTGTATTGGTGATTTTGGCATGCGCAATTTTAACGCCTTACTTCTATTTCATACCGAAAGCAACCCTTGCAGCGGTTGTGATGTCTGCTGTCATATCAATGTTGGAATTTGAAATAATATTGCCTTTGTGGAAGACAAATCGTAAGTAGTGTTAAGAATTTTTCTCTATAAGAAAATAAATATTTTTTCTTCTTGTTGTAAGGAAAAGATTTAATACCTCTTTGTGGTACTTTTTTCTCGTCTCTTTTACTTGGAGTGGAAAAGGGACTCATCTGTGGTCTGCTGTTTGACCTCGTCTTCATACTCTACTACAATGCAAGACCTTCAATTTATGTGTACAACATTCAAGTAATTAACAGCCGTTTAGTCATTAAAACTAGATTACATAGAAATTTCTTTCTTAATTCTAGCAAAACAATGAGAATTTTTGTGTAATAACACCAAGGAACGGCCTGCTGTATCCAGTAGCCAATTACCTCCACGAAAAAGTCGTTGTTCACTCAAATGTTTTACAAAAAGAAAAAATTACTGGCTACGTTTTAAATATGATTCATATAGCACACCTTGACTACACATCAATTCAGGTATCTCGTGTTAATATTACAAATCAAAGTTTGTATTCATATTGACCATTTTTACAGACCATTAAATCAATAATGAATGACTTGCTAATAAATAATAAGGAGCTCATATTGACAAATCCAAGGAAGTCTTTAAGGCCAATCATCCAAGAAGTTTTGCCCAAAATAAGGATTTTAGATAACTTAAACTTTCAGCATAATGAAGTAAGTATATTTTTGAAAAAAAAATTAATACATAAACCTTAACATTGCATTAGTTATTAAAGAATATTTTTCAGGTTTGAAGCCTTAAAAGAAGGCATCTGAGAATGTGATATGAAAATCATTTTTATATTTAAATAAACTCTTTTAAGAATAAAAAAATCATATCGATACCATCGTCATATCTATTTTTATTCTATCAGACTAATTTTATCCTAATAGGATTAATATTATTAAATTTCTTTTTTGCAAAACACTATCAGAGTATAATGATATTCATTTTACTCAGATTGTGTATTAACCTGAGTAAAAATGCAACAATGACCTTCAACTATAATAAAGTTTTACCGATGGGTAGAAGGTAAGATATGAATATATGTATGGTCAGAACTGGCAAAATATTAAATTCTACTTATAGTCAAAGATTAATTAATTGGTCAATCGGACCATGAAATCTAATGAATTTAATAAAATTAAAAATATATTTAGATATTTTTTCTAAATTGGCTACTCCCACTCGACAAAAACGATGAGACTGACAGGATGGTTTTTTGGAGAGGTATTTGGCCAAAGGTTCAAGTGGTCATATATGTAACATACTACATGGGATCCAAGCACTATGCATAGGCAAGAGATTATGCAGAAAAAACTGGGGAATAAATCCCAGCATGGTTGGTTATATGCAATGATCACACATGGAGCCTTTTTTGTAAAGGATGGTTCTACTCACAATCTATTTTTAGAAGCAATTCGGATTTCGAGCATTAAATGCTCATCAGGCTGAAGATTACAAACACATCTCTAGCGTGAATGGTGGAAAAGCTAGTAAGCTAGAAAGAGAATTATGGAGCTTTAGTATGGTGGCCAAAAATATTGCATAAAATAATGAGACACAAAGCAAACTGCAAAGTCTATAAAGTTACGAGACTTACGAGTTGACGTAATGGGGGTAATGCATTCAAGTCACACAACAGCGATGGAAACCGCACTTGATCTTTTGTCTTACACCTTCAAGTACAAAAGATGACTTTCAACAGTGTTAACTCTTGAGATACAAGGAAACCATCCCAGATCTAAGAAGCTATCACAAAATTCTGCAGAAAATTAAATGCATGAGTCAGTATCTAAAAAATGAGAGGATAACTGAACTTGGACGGACTCATCCAAGTGGTCATGGATCACAGAGATCTTTTGAAAGAAAAACAACAGTAAGTTTCAGGAAGGGAAGGTGCACTGATCAAAGATCGAACAGGGGGATGAGTAGGCGTATAAGGGCCGAATTACACCCTAACAAAGCAATTAAAACAGGTCTCAACTATCCTTTTTTAAAAAGATGGTTCCTACTCACATTAAGTTGTTACACAACAATCCGGATTTTGAGCCCTTTAGCTCGTCAGGTTGAAGGGTGTCTACAAACACGTCTCTCGACATGAAATTTTAATTTTAACTTTCAACAGCTTGATGTAGAAACCCTTCAACCTGACGAGCTAAAGGGCTCAAAATCCGGATTGTTGCGAAACAACTTACTGTGAGTATGAGCTATCTTTTTAAAAAAGATTGAACCCCACACTCACTCCATCATTCATAATTTCTATTAATTTGCTAGTCTCAACTATTTTTCAAGATGAGGTCAATGCAATCCAAAACTCTGTGCACCATTGTTGATAAAGAAGAAAATGAGAGCTGCATAGATTTACATACTTTCGGACAGTCAGGCAGCTATAAAGGCAGGCAAAATGCTTATGATTTTAGCTCCAAACTAGTCTCGGAGAACAAAAATATCCTAGGGGAGCACAAGGTTACCCTCAAGATGGGTTCCAGGAAATGAACAAAGAAGGTGTTACCTGTAGGACCAGAACCACTAAGTGCACCAGAGCGTGCTAAAGTTGGAGCTGGAAAAATGCTTGATAAAGAAAAACTTAATCACTGGACAAAAACACAGGTATTAGGCAAGCTAAAAGATTTATAAATCTCGCAAAAAGGAAAGCAAAAGAACTCTCTTAGAAGGCAAGATTATAGGCCTCACTGGTCACTGTCCTCTTAACTACCACCTAAAGATGGGCCAAGCAAAGACAGAAACATATCAACCATTTCAAGAGTAATCAGACATGAGCACCAAACCTTGTTACGCCCTGACTGTTCAACTCCCTGATTTTGGGACTTCCAGTCAAAATTTTAGAAAAGTATATCATTTTCGACGTTAGGGGTCGGAAAAATTCCATTTTTTTGTGTAAGGGGTACCTCTAACGTGGCAGGGATCGTTGCCGACCTAGGAGAGAATGGAAGCCGTGTAATTGGGTTGGACGTCTGGATCGGGAACTGAGACAGTAGGGGCCGGGCGAACACGATAGCGGAAGCAGGCTAGGTGTGCGAGCGGTGGGAGACGAGAGGAAAAAAAAGGACAAAGAGGATAACCGGAGGAACGAGGGACATCCTTTTCTTTTTCCAGTGTGGGAAACGGCCGTTCTCCTCCGGGGACAGGATACGCATCCGGGCAGGAGCTAGGAGGACAGATGTCGAGACGAGGCACTCCAGCGAAGTCCAATGTGTGGTTTTTTTTTTGTGTTTTAAGAAATAGTGTTTTTTTTTGTTAAGAATTTTTTTTGAGAGGATACTCCAATTATTGTAAATTTAATTTCGTTTGTGAGGCCTTCGCGTGCTAACCCTATTGTAAATCAAATTGTAATTAATAGAATTTTGTTTCGTCTAAATTCAGATTGTTTCATTTTTTTTATTACTTATTTATTAATTTGTTTTGTTTCAATTGTTTTTTTTTCCGACCCCTGGCAAATGCCGGTCTACTGACTTTAATGATTTAGGTGAACAGTCAGATACTAACAAGGCAGCTTGTAGCGCAGGGGAATCGTATTCGTTTTGACTAGAAGGTCCGCGGTTTGAGTGCGTTTGGGGTCATAATTTTTTTTCCCTTTTCTTTTCTTAAGGATTCACTATTTTCCCTGGATCAAATAGTGTGGCGCCCGACTGTAGTATTGGTTCCCCGAGAATCCCCCCTTCCTCACTGAGCATCAGTCAGCAAGTTACTACCAAAGGTAACAACCTAGTGAATGCAATAGCCACCGAGTAAGACAATTCTTACGCCAAGAGATGTACATGAAGAGGCACAGAGTAGAGTATTGCCTTGCAACTGTGAGGAATGATTAGGGATCAACAGAAAAAAAAAACCTATGTACATACAGCATAGAACTGCTTCACATATCTTTTTTAAATTGGAAAATATATATGTACGATTGTATTAATGGGAGAAGGGTATCATGAAAAAGAGTCAGGGACGACAGTGGGAATCGAACCCTCAACCACCGTAATATGAGCCGAGCGTCTATCACACTAACCACTCGGCTACTGCAGACCCACGTATCTTCATGTATAAAGTTTGCTATTAATGAATAATTTTACTTAATATTTGTTTCTTGTTTTTATTTTCGGGAATAGAAAAAGGATAATGTACAACAATTTTAAAAAATCAATATATTTCAGTATATATTAAAAAATGTTTGTTATATACAAACTATAAATAATAATTAAAAAAAAAAAAATCAACAAAATGAATCCAGTTCGTATTAAGTACACAAACACGATTGTTTGATTGGTAGGCAGTAAATATAAAATTCAAATAAATTAGTCCACATTCTCTTAGATCTTTAATTAAATTTTCTATTCATATTTACAATTAAAATTATTCGTCTTCAGCTTAAACAAACATGCAGTCGAGGTACAGTATTCACAATTGTTTTTAGTTTGTTCAATTGTTTGATAAATAATAAAAAATGTTCTTATAAGCGGTGATAATTGTTTTAATCAACGGTTGCTTCAGACTAATAATTTTATTAGACAGCTCACTTTTGCACATGCATCTTTTTGAAATTATAACGCTGTAGTAAAATCTACAATTTCAATACTCGGCTCTTCGAATTCTCCTCTAGGCTCTTCAAATTCTCCTCGTGGCTCTTCTTTAACCACTGTTTCTACTAACGGTGATAACTGTACACTGCAAGATGGGATGTTGTACAGCTGCAAATAAAATTCATCATTTTTCTCTTTTACAACCCCTTGTTCGTCCTGATCTTGTAATTTGTCGAATTCGGTTTCTTCTTTTACAGTATCATCATTAACCGGGATCCACGTTTTGTTGAGCTTTTCCTCTTGGAGTCTTGTCCAAGTTATGTCGAGCTCTTTTGTACAGTTATTTATCTGATTGGCTCCTATATTTAAGAGTGATGTCAAAGAAATTAATTTCGACTTTATATTGAATTTGTCGTCGATTTCAGGCACTCCATTCGACACTCTTGTCAAGTTGGCGTTCAGCGTGTCGATAACGGTGGTAATTGATTTAATCCTTCCCTTGAGCCATTTCGTTTCGAATTTTGACGCGGGTAAAGGTCTGCTGAATTCTTCCTTTTTTGAGAGAGATTTCAACGAGTAAGCCGGCGCTTTCGTCGGTGCACAGGCACGATAGTTGGTGTGAGACAATGGTACTCTATGACTGTAAACATTCCTATGCTGTCCCCTATAGGTACGCGCCCTTGGGAAATAAGTGCAACCATTTGGTTTTAGCACGACCGACATCGGGTTGACAGATCTAACCGCTGAACAGTTCACTGACTTTCCTTCATTAATCACAGTGTTCGTATTGTGCGGTTCCGTTTCTGGAATGATCACATCATCAGCTACCTGATCAGCACGACAACACTGAGAAACATCACCTTTCCATTTGGCATCTATACATCTGAAAAAAAGTTTTACAATTGACTTGTTTTTTCTAAGTTTAAATTATCTCAACTCAAAATAATACCTTGACTTATTAAATTGAATTTGCCCTAAAAGTGCCCACAAAACCCCTCTTGATGGCCATAAGTCTTTCATGTTGCATACAATGCATAACCAATCATTCCTATTTGTAGCAAGTTCATCTAATGGTAAATTGCAATAAATACACATCTAGGGAGATAAAAAATTAATTAAAGAACACATTTTTATTATGTTTCAATCACCTACCTCACAGAAGGCAAATGGGCAAACTTTGCAATATCTCAGAGGTGATGATTCCGATGGAGGCTTGGTACACCACCGACAAAACTGGTCTTTACCATCAGGGGAAAGTTCAAACTTTTTCTGCCTATAGAGGGAAATGCACTTTGAACAGCACAACACTTTAAGCAGAGGATGTTGGATGTGGTTAGCCCTTTGCCCTAAATTACAACCTACATGTTCATCGCATATTGTACAGTGAAGTCTTTTTCTAAGAACGCAGCTTAAAACTAAAAACAAAACACAAACCTTGTAACTCCATTATTACAAAACTAGATATACGAATACCTTTATATTGAGTTCTCCTATAATAATGTTCACTCTGATCTACATTATTCAATTTTTTAACATTATGGGATATAAACTCTTGTGGGTCTAAGCGTACAACAGCCTCTTTGGGAAGTTCAGTAGGAAAAACAGGTGGTTTGGTTTCTACACTAGTCACTTCACAGCTAGATGACGACCCCCCATCTGGCTTTCCAGAAGAAGAGGTCACCGCTTGAACATTGCTGTCTTCTTTGTCCATGGGGTCATCCACAAGTTCTTCTTCTTCTTCCTCTTCTATTCCTAAAGTGGTTTATGAAACTGCTGTGTTTAAATCATACTTTCATCTTAAGTACCTGTGACATATTCGTCAAGAGACGCTGTCTTCCGTCGTTTCCGTTTACCGACACTTTCCATCTTCTTAATTCATTAAAAAATAACTTTGTGACTTGAACACATTCAGAGATTTATCGTTAAACTGGAAAACATTTGCATTTCTTATTTGTAATAAGAAACCATATATTTAAACATGACTTTATTGCTTCATACTCACTTGATACAGTTTAGCAATTTTCAAATTAAAACTGTGAATCCATACTTCAGACACTGCACCATATAGAATTCTAAAAAACAAAAACAAAATTTATTATAACAAAAAAATTGTCATTTCCAAAAAGTTTTCTCTTTGTTTAGCTGCCTATATTTTTAATTTTCTTAATTTACTATTTAAAATACCTTTTCTCCAGGGTAATTTGTGACATTTACACTAATCATAATTTTGTGACTAATTTTGGCTATCTTCAGTCATTGAACTTTGTTTCTATTAAGGCTTGTTTTGTATTATACAAAATCTGTTAATATTGTTCATGATTAAAAAAAAAAAAAAAAAAAAAATTTAAGAAAATTTTGTTAAGAAGAACAGATATTTTCTTTGAATTTTAAACGTTGTTAATTGAATCATGATGGCCGTAATTTACAGAATCGTTCAGGACTGCATTAGAGACCTGTCAGATATTGGGTGGTATAGTGTGGTTTGAGGCTCGAGACCCTGAAACGGCTCACCTCGAGTTCTCATCCACAGTCCTTTTCTCAATCCGGGTTCCTTCATTCTATCCTGTGACCCCCAGGATCGGACCACCTAGGCTGAGCCTATGGCATTGCTTGAATGTGCATGGCAGGTGTAGGCTGAGCTCGAAAGGAGCTCATCTAGGGGGTGGTTAGCAATTCCACTTAAAACAAAACCGCGGATGGGGCAGATCCGGCAGTTTCTACTCTATGGGAAGCCCCAATTCTCTGGGAGATAGAGTCGCTTTCTCTATCTAGGGAGTGCGTGGGAGAACAGGCTGATGTATTTTGGCTTGTTAGCCCTTTGCGCGCGGCATACGACCCGATGCACAATGCGGGCCCAACCATTCGGAGTGGACAAGCGGAGAACGAGGTTGTTTTGGCTCTTAGGGGCTGGAATGCCTCTACACCAATGCTGCGGCGGTATCACTCTTGTCATATGCGCAGGTGCGTCAGCTCTCATCTTGAGAATCAAAACGTCTGATAAGGCCGAATAGGCCAGGTGCGGATGCTAAAGATCCTCTAGTCTTGTGACAACGAGTACTCGGGAACCTCATGTCAGACATTGGGGAAAATAACAAAATTACCGTTGTCTGTGTACCAGGGCACACAGAGCAGAGAGGGGCAATGAAAGGATGATAAATTGGCCAAGGAAAGTTTGGTGAGGACACCTATTGGCCCTGAATCCTTTTGTGGCTTATCCCACTGCCAAAACACAGATCTATTAGCCAATGGATTAAAAATAAGTCTACTGTTCAATGGAATTTAGCCCGGAGCGGAGGCATGCAGAAAAGTTTATTGAAGGACCATTGCAAACTAACAGCAGAATAACTAAATCTATCATGTGCTAGGACTAGAATAACAGTTGGACTGCTGACTGGACACTGCAGATTCCAGTGGCATATGTACATCACGGAGCGGCAAAAACAAACCTGTGCAGATATTGCCAAGAAGAAGAAGAAACAGCGGAACATGTTCTCTGTTGATGCGAAGGACTATGTAGGCTGAGATTACTAATCCTGGGGAGGAAGTCAGGGCCCTAAGGATATACACAGATGCCTTAAACTTGGCTCTACAAGAAAAAAAAAAATGGAGATGCACAATAGACCAATACCAGTCACGGTACACAGGTTGTAAAGAGGCCCACCTAACTATACACTAATCTAACTATGCACTCCTGTCTCCTCTAAAAATTGGAATAGGGGACCCAGATAATCGCTGTCATGCTCAAGCCTAAATCTTATATCAGATGGTATTACTACTCTCTACACGGAGCTGAGCCAAGAGGCATCCCTCAATTAAATGGACACCGACCAACCTTTCTCTTCATGCCAGACTTGAGGGCCGTGGTCTAAAAATAAGTGCCCATGGGTCAATCTCGCACGGCTTATCCTTAATCAGGTGAGCATGACCATTCCCTGGTAATCCAGCCCTTAAACATTGCCAATTTCTTTATCACAAACATACATACTTTTTATTAAACAAGTTAGTACATCATTACAAATTTGAGTGACAGTGGGAGGGCCACCTTAACTACAACCAGAAAGTCTTTGATTGTTTAAATTTTGGTAAATAGTTATAACGAGGTTTGTGAGAAGTGGGAAAAAGTTAAAGAAAACACCCACTCATTTAACCAGGAGAATTTACAAAATAATTTTTGAGGGCCCAAGTAAGTTAATAAGTAAATTTAAAAAAAAATGTACATTTACGGAACAGAAATTATAGGGATATCATAGCACTTAATGGAGTATCACAAATGTCATAAAATTCGCAGCTCAGTCTCACTGCTTATTAAAGCTAGAGGCTCCTATTTCTCTGCAAAGCTGGCAGCACATCTGCTGAAGAAACGCATCATTCTTGACTTCACCTCCATGGCAATCATCATTTTGGTCGTGGAGGCGCTCAATACTGGTCCACCTTGGGTAGGAGGTGACAAACCTCAAAAACTTATTTTGGATCATGTGTAACATGTTGAGGTTTGTCCGGCAGTGATGTTCCAAGTAGGGCAAGCGTACAGAAGCATGAGCTTAATGCTGCTGTAGAGGAGCTTTATGTTAAAAGCACTCATCATGGAATCCTACAATAGTAGAGGAAACAGCACCCTGATAGCAGTTTTTTTCTGCAGTCTAGTCTATCTGCCATATGCCTGGTGAATGTCAGGCTGATATCCATGGTTAAGTCCAGATATTTTACATAGCCTGACCAGGGAATGCTGTTTCCTACTGCCATGACATGGTTGATTACTTCAGGTCTTTTTTGGTAAAGAGGATGGCTTCTGTTTTGGCGGAATTGATTTTAAGTTTCCATTTTTGACAGAGGCAAGCAATTTTCCCATTTTCGATGCTGAGCCTTCTCGTTACTATGTTTGGCCTCCATTATGTTAGTATTTTCTTTATCTCATGACCTTATAGAAATGAAGAAGAATGGCAAATCAAGGGTTTTTGTGAGATTATCAAGGTATATAATGAAAAAATCTGTCGCAGACAAAAATGGTTTTATATGGTAATTTATAAAAGGTTTGAACCATTTTGAATTGCGGTTTCTTGACAAATAGACATATTTTTCCATGGACTCAATTCAAAAACTAGTTGAAGAAAGTTAAGATTTTTTTGTTCAATACTAATTAAGACAATAAAACAAATTCTATTTTGGGAGTAAACTATAATTTTTTGTTTTTTCTCCCTTGCCATTTAAGGTGAAGTTTGCTTATCCGAACCATCCAATTTTGGTGGGTTTGGTGAGAAGAAAAAAAGAACCTCCTGAGATTGTAGCCCTAAAGGAAATAAAGTAGATATCACTGACAACTGGCTGCTGTCAACAACACCTTCAAAGGGGTCAACGGCCGAAAAACCGTCGGACCCGTTTTTAAATTTGAATATAAATCCCGGGATAAAAACAAAAACATACTCACTTGTTTTTCTCGGAAACGGCTTTTCGGCCTCTTCTGGTGAGAGAAGGGCTCCAAAAGAGGAAACTCAGCCGGACCGGGAGGTTTTCGACATGCGGGGCTTCCTTTGTTTGCCGTCTGTACTTGGCAACTGTGCCGAGCTTTTGGCATTCACCGCATGATTGGGGGATGAAACTGAAGACTGGAGATATATACTGAAAAAAAAATTCAGCCCCTTTTTAAATTAAAATTAAGGGAAACAACCCTAAACGCGAGACAAGCCCGTCGGTGAAAAGTTCACCCAGACAATAAAATTAAAACCAGCTGTCCAATTTTTGTTTCACTCTTCATTTTTTTTAAAATCTCTTTAATCTCTTGCATTCTAAATTTAACAATTCAAGCTGTTCAATTCACTTTTTAAAAGTTTTTACAGGCATTTTAATCTCAGGAAAAAAGCAAAAATTTAACCAAAGCTTCGAGTAATTAGAAACACTGGTTCAAAACTATCAACACCAAAAAAGACATTTGAGATTGTTACATGGCTTTTTAAATTTTATAATTAGGAAGGTCATGAGCCAGCATAGGGCTATTTTACCTTTATTCTTTTATCTTTATTTATTTGCATTTCCCCACCCATGACTGATGAGTTGGAGACACTGGGGCAAGGGGGTGCAACGGACAGCACCGTGCCTATCACTAGTCTTAGGCCTCTTTCAGATGAAACGGTTGGTTGATTCAATTAAGTTGGCTGCTACGTGAAGTATTTTCTTGGCTGGTGACTTATGGAACTTCTCTTCCCAAAATCAGTACGAGTAAGGTTGAGAGCCAAAGAGGGTCTTTAATCAATCTTAAAATTGATCCTTGATGAGTCCAAAACCTGGTGGAACATTACCACAGGCAAGGACCATCCGCAAAACAAAAGAATTACTGGAAGGCAGCTGCAACCGAACCAAGATTCTGGTTGGACAACTCCTACCAGACAAGAAAAATTGTGCAGATACTGCCAGGAAGAGGAGGAGACTGAAGAACACATTTTATGGGTCTATGTAGTTGCATACTCTTGCAACTAAGACAGGAATAACAAGCAAGAGCCTACATTAAGGAGCCGCTGGCAAAGCTATGGAGGCTGGTTAATAACCTGAAACTGGCCAGTGAGTTATAAAAACAGGGGAGAGTAAATCTAGTCAGATCAAAGTGCAGAAAGCCTTGTGGTCACCTCTTTTAACCCTATCATATTAGTACGATGTTGGAAACCAAAGAAGTAGATTTCTTGCACTCTTCTTCAAGAAGAGAAGCAAAAACGGAGTCGAATAAAAATGTGGTTGTTACAAAATCAGAAAATCACTACTGTGGTGCCATTTCTCTCCAACATTCACTCATTTTAATTTTGTCCTATATTTCTCACACTTCATTTCAAATATCACGGGGCTAATACGAATTTTTTTTACATTAAAACTATAGCGAACTTGGTCTCTCTACTGGGTGGTGTGTGGCAAATGCAGAGTTGTTTCTGTGTTGAGTCATCCAAGTCCTCAGGTAGTCATCCACAATACATGCTCGAGTTCTGGCATTATCCTGCATTACCAAGAATCTCTCACCGATGGGGGGTGGGGCAAATAGCACTGCAGTTTATTCAATTGTACCTCTGTAAGTTAGAGTTCGTCCTTGCCCAACAATCAATTTAGTGGGGCCACCAACCATGGAATGCCACCTGAGGAACCATACAGCATGGGATATACCTTTCTCCCGAGCATCTCCATATGAATTTATGCCCATCTGTAGATTTGAGGCCGACTTTCACCTCATCTGTAAAGAGAACTCGTCCCCAATCTTCCAATGTCCAATTCACATGTTCCCGTGCAAATTGAAGCCTGGCCATTTTCTGAGCAGTGGTAAGAAGAGGTCCACAAGCCGGGTGTCGGGCCCTGAAGTTATTTTCATTGTCTTCTTCGTCCTGGAGGAAATTGAAATATTTCGGACTTGTCTTTTCAGATTTATTATCTCATTTTGTAATGCTGTGATTTCGTAGTCTGATGATGGATGAATCTATTGTCTCTTTCGTTTGTAGACCTAGGTCGTCGATGCTGTCCTGGCCTTCTAGTGTGATGAAGCCCTGTTTCTCTGAAGTGCAGTAGAAGCCTTCCTATTATAGAGTGATTTACTATATCATGTTGGCTGTATCCTTCCTCTAATAATGTTATAACCCTATCATAATCACTCAAATACATGACTGGAGCCATAGAAAAAGGTTTAAGAATAAGAATAATGTCAAATGAAATCAACGAAGGAAAAAGGTTAACTGAAAGCGATCTTTAGGCATAGCAAAATGGAAGAGCATAATACTATTTATTTTGACTATGATAATTCCTAATTATCAGTAACTAAAGTAGAAAAATAATGGATTTAATTTTAACTAAAATAACTGAGTGGTGCGTTAAATTTGTTCATCAGTGTAGTTGAATCAATTAACTGCCTTGTCTGAAAGAGGCCTTATTGCCTTGTTGTTGAATTATAGCACAGAGCCTATTGGATGTCACTTCCATTATTGGCGCCTCATCACGACACTGAATTGTCAACCCAGAAGAATTAACGGCTTAAAAGAAATAACAACAATCCTACAAAAAGTATAACGACCATCTTTATTATGTACAAAATCAATAAATCAATAATAATTTACACATTTGATAGTGTATAAATAAATAGATTAAATTTAAAGTACAACAAAAAATTGAAAAAAGAAAAAAGAGCTTGTACAAAGTACAGAGGTTGTATGTTGTCAGATGACAGTTTAACAGCCTAAACCTACACGCCAGAGATGGCGTAAGTCGACAAATTATCTAATTAAAAACTCATTGGTGATGATCCAAGGCAGTTGGACAATGTGCTCCAGGAAGATACTAAAATTAAAAATAAAAATAATAAAACATACAAAGTAGTTTCATTTTTTCAACATACTTTTAAAATAAAAAATACAAACGACGACATAAGATAAAAACCTAGCCCAAAAAATCATATGAGGTGACATCGTCGAATTGCGGCTGCTGTCCTGCGTTTGGTTGGCCCTGCTGTGTCGGCATTCCCGCCCGTGGCATCTGCTGTTGCATATTCATCCTGTATTGTGGCTAAAAAACAAGAAATTGAGTGATTTTTTTTTCTTCTTAAATGAACAGAATTACCTGTTGCAATAGATGCCTAAGTCCGGGGTTGTTTGAAAGCGCTGGCCTCATTAGCCTTTGCTGCCCTTGTGCTTGTTGAGCCACCGGGGCCATACCTCTCATCTGTTGCTGTTGTTGTTGTTGCTGCACCTGCTGCTGCTGCTGTTGTTGTTGTTGTTGTTGCTGCTGCTGCTGCTGTTGCATGTGTTGTAATTGTGCTCTGAGTTGCTTCTGTTGCTCTTGCTGTAAGCCGAGGTTCAACTGAAAAGAGTATCAAACTGAACCAAAAACAAGGGGCAAAATCGACCTCACATGCCCACTAGTAACCTCTTATAAACTAAACGTCAAAGAAAGCGAGGGAAATGGGGATTATTAAGAAAAAAGCATTTACGAAGAAAGTCAACTATTTTAAGCATGAAAATGGACAACAAAAGGAAAGGGTTTTGTTTTGTTTTAAAACTTCAATTTATCACCTCAAGTTGAGCTTTAAATTGATCTTGGGTTTGGCCAGGATGCATTCCAACAGTATCTTGCATTGGCTGCATTTTCATCTGATTCATTATCTGGAAAAGGGTGTCAGCTTGTTTTCAATAAAAGATCTTTTCTTTTTTAAATTTTTTGTTTGTTTTTAAATAGAAAAAGATATCAAAGCATGCCTTTTAATGAGGAGAGTCCAAATTACTGAAAAAGAAATGTCTATAAAACTACTATTTTATCATTCTGCTTCGCAAATTGATGAAAAAACCAACAATTATTCCGAGATAAATTGCAAATGAATAAATTTTGATGAGATCCTTAAATTCTCATTCTAATAGAATCTAGCTCCACTAAATAGAATCGGAATATAAGTTGTAACACTTTTTTGCATCCTCCTTAGTATATTTTTGTCCTGAAGAGGTAGGGGCTAGGTCAGCTCAATTTCTTCAAAAGGTTCTACCATACTTTTAATACCAACTGGTGCATTAGGATTTAATTAGTATTTGGTATTAACTAATTCTATGCTTTCATCATTATTGGCAAGCTGATTCAATTGAAAGATATAGTTTTTGAAAAAATGACAAATACAATCAACCATACAAGAGTTCTTAAACAGAATCTTTCCAAATTCAATCTTTTTTCACAAGTCTGATTTATTTCACTGTAGGTTTTTTTGGGACTCACTGAAATCACTAGTACACTGGGTTGAGTAGTAAAACTGACAAAAGCACCAAATTTTAAAAGAATTTCTTTCAATTAATTATTCTTTTTATGTAAGGTCTTGAGGTTAAAATGAAAAAGTTAGTGTCACGAGCTCAATACACCGCTGATCTAACCACTTGAGCTATCGTGACTTTGATCCACTCGGACGCCAACTCCCCATCTCAACCTACAACCTTTCGAATTTTTCCTCTTTTTGCCCTATTTTCAATGTGGTGTCCGGTGAGCCGAAGGTTGTGGGTTCGAATCCTCATGACACTAACTTTTTCATTTCAACCAAGACCTTACATAAAAAGAATAATTTAAAGAAGTAATTTGGTCAATTAGACCACTAAACATAATGATTTTAAAAGAATGTTTTTCTATCAGAACATTTCTAAAAAAATATTAAAGACAGAAAGTGACCTAATATTTATACAAAAAGGCAGAAGTACGAAGAATAAGGTAGATTGAATTATAACTTAGTGATTATTTTATTAATTATTTTTGCATGCCTTATTATGATTGTTAGTTTTCATTCATTTTTTTTAAAATCAAGTTACTTACTGTTCATGCACCTATTTGAGGTGTAAGTCAATCTCATGTTATATGAAAAGTTTAATCTTGAAAATTAGTCAATTTTTCATCAGATATCACAAATGATTAATAAACTTTAAATAAACATGCTGTTTTTGTTTTGTTGGAATTGTGAAAATATACGAATTAAAAAAGTTTAGTTTGTTCAGAAATTGTGTCCTCACTTCCATTGTGGTTAAAAATAATGACAAACGTAAATGTATTAAGATTTTAAAAGTCCAATATTTGATGTGCATATGTTTTTTTTTTCATTTTCAAATATATTTGATAAAAAATTATAGCTGACCTTTCTTGCGCCAATCTTCTTCATGTTAAAATATCATATCAATTTTTATGTTTCTTTAGTTATTAGGAGATACAGTGCAACCTGATAAACCTGAACTCACTCAGAAATTCAAATAAAATTCAAGCTCAATTCTATTCACAAATTTTCAATTTTAGGCAAATTCAACTAATCCAGTATATAAGCATGAATGAATGTCTAAAAAACTAAGCATTGAGAATTACAATGTATTTTGTTGTGGAGTTTTTCCGGCCATTTGTTATAGTCAGTTGAGGTTTATTTTAAATAACATCCTTGATGAAAAGAAAAATTAGTGCCACGAGCAGGACACTAATTTTTCTTATCTTTGCATAAAAATTAGAAATAATAATTAATAATAAACAGAAAACTAATTAAATAATCTTTGATGAAATCTGAGCATTTAATATTTTTAGTTTAGTAAAACAGAGTTCATTAAGGATTTTATTTTAATAAACCTCATCAGACTACAATAAACAGCTGTAAAACTAAAAAAAAAACAAAAAAAATTAAAACAGGTAAAAATAAAAAAACTGTAAATTATTTAATATTGAGAATTATAATTTGTAATCACTAAAAAAGTATTTTGTTTGATAAAAGTACTATTTAATTTTTTACAAGTGATTGAGATTAAAATAAGAGTGAGTAAAGTTTAAAAAAATAATGTTTTATGTGTTAAAATTAAATTTATAAGTTATACATCCCACAAATTATTCTAAATATGAAAACAGCCTACATGTTTTTTTTTTTTGTTTTTTTAAATTTTATTATTATTATTTTTTATTTTTAAACCTGGAACCGAAGTTTCCTCTGTGCACTACATCTTTGATAAGGAATGAATACAGAACTCATAACAGTTTAAAACCATAATATCTGGGAATTAACTGTCAAATTTTGAATGGAATCGAATAAGAGAAAATCAGGCTGGGAGGGAGGGTTATGTAGTGGGTGAGATATAAGCAGGCGAATGCATTCTAGCATCTTAAAATCAGACTTGAAAAGGTTAAATGTGTACCACTTGAAATTTACCAAAGTATAGATCTATATGTTCATTCGCTGCAGGTACCATCAGATATTAACCAGAAATTATTGGATTTTGAGGAATGTTTCTTGATGTTAAGCTTGCAACAAGATTAGTTGCTGTGGAACTTCACTACATGATCTTTTCACTTTCCCTATCTTATGTAGAAAATACAGTAGGTCTCGTGTAGTGATTATACAGAATTTTGCTGTTTAGCAACAATTTTGAATTTTTCAAACCTTCCACAATTGCTAAGCGATGTGACCCAACGCTACCCGATGCCTCATCACATTTTGGTAGGTTGTTACATCTATGCAACGTCAAGTGCACGTCACGTACAGTCACACAGCGTGTATCACATATATCACAATCGCAACGCCTCTTTTGTTCTTAATTTATTATTTTGAGCAAAACCATGTAATAAATTGTTAAATTTTATGAGCACAACCATGTAATAAATTGTTAGTCAAATTTAATTGTTTTAAATAAATATTCAAAAATCATGAGATGCAGTCTGGTGTGATGTAGGTTTCAGAAAAACATTTTCTTTATCGTGCCAATTTGTTCATAGAATCCCATGTTCTTCATTCTTCTCGTTTTAAATAAAGTTATTCCAGTGTTTTGATAAATTTTCTGCCTAACCATCATAATTAAATAATTTTTATAAATACTTATGAATTTTTGATCTTGTTTAATTTGGTTTACATTAAAATAAGCATGTATTAATATAACGACAAAATTACACATACATAGTTTGAAATAAGCTACAAAAATATGAGTGTCAGCTTTTGACGCATTCGATGAAAATGGTGTAATTTTATGAACAAAACCATGAAATAAATTGGTAGTTAATTTCATTATATAAAAAAATGGTATTCTGGAGTTTTGATCAATTTTCTACCAAACCCTTAAAATTAATTAAAAAACAAAAAACAATTGAAATTAATTTACAAATATATCATGAAAATAAAAAATGAATTTTTGATCTCGCTTAATTTGGTTAATATTAAAAAGTATATATTAATTAATATAACGGCAATAATATATATAGTTTGAAATAAAAATATGAGTGTCCAGTTCTTTTGTCTTCGACTGTACTCGACGAAAATCTGGACAGTGGGGATTGTGTAGCGTAGAGTAGGGTGTAGTGTATGAGAGACAATTAGTTTTAGTTTAATTTAAAGTTGTAGAAAAAGTGTATAGACTGGGAGGGAAGAAATGTGAGACAGACGGATCCCATTTCGCACGTTGGACGTTGATTCAGTCTTGTTCTAACTCTGGAAAGATGATCGCGGCCGTCTTGCTGATACTGGGTGAGTGTCTTGTGTTTTGTCCCTCTCAGGCTGAGTAGTTTTTGCAATACTATGTTCGTAGAATAGTTTTGGGGGAACTGTAACACCTGTAGATAAGAACCCAAGCCCTTACTGCAAGTCATATGTAATTTTGGAACCTGCAGTCGATAGGAAGCCCCGTATGCCGTTATTGTATAATCGAGTAGAAACAAAATTCATTTATGTAATTAATTTAAAGATAATAAAATGTTAGCATAGTAAATAATAGTTAATTGTTCTCCAAGGGCCAACCTAACATAGGGTAGCGTTGAGTGGCATCGGGCTACACGGGGGTAATACAAATTTAAGGAAAATTGGACATTGGATTTGCATCGTGTGGCTTCGGGTAGCTTCATGTAGCGTTTTATCGGGTGTGTTCCCTGCTTAAGACTTTTGTTTTACTCAGCCCTGGTGGGTGGCGTACCTTTGCACATTATTACCAATTACGATTCTATCTAGTCAGACACCCTAACTTGGCAACCGCAGGGACCTTATGTAACATGAATATCTGTCAGCATGTAAATTTATCGTTCTTTGAAATTTGAAAAAAAAAAATTATTTTTAAAAATAAATCTTTTAAGAGGATCTTCGGAAGAGGTCAAAACAGAGAAAACTNGAAGATCCTCTGAAAAGACTTCTTGTATCCAGCAGGTCGATAATCTAGTTCATCGTTACATTTTTAAAAATATTTTTGTTTGTAAATTTTAGAAACTTCAAGATTAACTAGTAAGGTTGCACTGTACTAAAATAACTGTTTTAAAATTATCATAAAATCAATAGTGATATGTTCGAACAACTCTGAGCAGAGTCTTGTCATCTTACTCAATTAATTAATAATTAATTCTAGTAATTAGGACTCGATGACTTACATATACTTCTTTTTTTAAATTCTTAAAATTGCCTATAGCAATTACCTCAAACTGATTCTTGAACTGGAGTTCCTGTTGTTGAGCTGCCTCTAGCGTTTGTCTAAGCTTTTGGATTTTGACGAGGTTTTCTTGTCGTGCTTCGACAAGTTGCGTATTATACGGCCCAGCCTGTGGGAGGCGTATGTTAATGATGTTAATGAGTATATGTTTGATGATGTTTACAAACCTGGCTAGTTCCTTGTTGCTGAGACTGATCTCCTTGTACTGTCCCCATCATTTGTCCCGTGGGTTGTCCGACTGTTGCTCCACCCAAAGCAGATGCTATTGCAAAACAAGAGGTTAACAGGTCCAAGAATTTATAGTTTATGGCTCATATTCTTACTTATGGGCTGAGTCTGTTGCTGGGAGAAAGGAGTCTGCTGTAGCATTCCGGGCATTGATGTTTGTGGATTTCCCTGTGGAACAAGACCAGGGGCCTGCTGAACTTGACCAGCCTGATGTACATTCTATAAAGTTCAAAATTTAAATAAACAAGAAATTGCAAATTTAAAAAAGAAAAGAAAAAGAAAGTTATTCACCATTTGCCTATGGGCATTGCTCATTTTCTGATGCTGAATAATTTTTCTCAGTCGATCAACAAATGCTGGCTGATCGTTTGGTACAAAACCAAGAAAAGCCCTTCTGTCTGTAGTGTAAAGAACAATCATTACTTTTAAATCCATACCGGCACCTGAGAAATGTATGCATCCCGCCTAAAAGAAACATTTTATTTTACAACTTAAATGAAACAAGAAAGGCTTGAGTAAACATACAAATCCTGTGCTCATGATTTTTGTTAGTGCTTCTAATGCTTCACAAGGCTGAAGATGGAATAGCACAGATTTGGAGTTTTTGAGATAAGACCCTCCAATATTGCCTATTAACTGCCTCGGCATTAACTGCATAAATAGTTTAGAAGGCCAAACATCTGTTTTGCTATAAAGAAAAGACATTTAATAAAAAATGGATGATTCAAAATGGCGTGTTACTCACAGTTCTGGTTCACCATCCTTAGCAGCTGCAGATACAGAAACTGGTACTTGTCGAGGGACTTTTTGGGCATCAGCTGGCATCTTTTTGTCTATCCACTCAAGTATACCTTGCCATATTGTTCTCCTCTCCCTTGACCCCTATAAAAACGATTCTAATTATTACAATTTTCCTAAACTTTTTCAGCATTTTACGCTGTTTTGATAAATTTAAGTAAATAACAACATATAATGTACACAGCCCATTGGGGAAAAATAGACCAACTAGTTTTTGCATGAAAAATGGCCAACTTTGGAAATGCATATTTGCCTAAGTCACAGACCTGTGCTAGGTCTCAATTTTTCACTGAACAAGATGAATTTTTTGAATGTTTTCCTACCTTTAGTCATTCATCAGTAAATTCAAAAATTTGGGAACATGTTAAATTTTGAACTTTTTACTAGAAAAAAATTGAGCTGTGGAGCCAGGAAATCATCCTGGAGTGACACCTTTTAGCAATCATTAGAAAATTCTACTAAGCTTTCAATTGGTCACCTTCCACTTTGCCTGATTTTTTAACAGTTTTTTAGCAAAAACATGATTTATGTGCTCATGGAAAAAATAAATCACTCTCTCTCCTGATTTTCAAGAATGCATACATTTTGAGCCATCATGTTTTCGCAAATTTTACGCTCTTCAACTTTTGTTTAGAGGACTTTTTCAAGGGTAGTGACAATTCTGACTTTTTCTTACTTTGACCTTTTGGGATGTGGAATCCTTTTGCTGTCTCCTCAGCTCAATTTGAAATTTTTGTATAAAGTGCAAAAATTGACATGTTCCCGAATTTTTGAATTTATTGATAAAAGAAGTAAGAAAAAGTAAGAAGTGTTGCTTCTCTGTTCACTTTTTTGAAAAAGTCCTCAGAACAAAAGTTGTAGAGCATAAAATTTGTAAAAATATGATGGTTCAAAATTTATGCATTCTTGTAATCGAGAGAGTGAGTGATCAGTTTTTTCATAAGCATGTAAAAGCTATGATTTTTGCCAAAAAAGTCGTGAATAATTAAAAAACAGTTGAGAAATCAGGCAAAGTGGAAGGATGACCAATTGAAAGCTTATTAAAATTTCCTATCGATTGCTAAAAGGTGTCGCTCGAAGATTTCTTGGCTCCACAGCTCAATTTGAAGTTTTCGTAAAAGTACAAAAATTAACAAGTTGCAGAATTTTTTAATTTACGGATGAACTGAAGCTAGGAAAACATTTAAAAAGCCATCTTGTTCAGCAAAGCGATTTAAAAGCTTGAGACTTAGTGCAGTTCTGTGACTTAAAAGGCTGAGAAAATATGCATTTCCAAAGGTGGCCATTTTTTGTGTGCAAAAACCAGCTGGTATGTTTTTTTTTTCTTTTTGGTGGGCAGTGTATCGACAATGTACTATTACTCCAAAAATAAAACAACATTCTTCAGTTTATAAGAAAAACTATAATTATTCAATTATTAATGGTGGTGAGATAAATTTATCTATATTTAGCTTACTTGTGTAGGTTGCTGCTGGGGTTGAGCGATTGTCTGAACAGTAGGAGCCTGTTGTTGCATTACCGAAGTTGGAGTTATTTGATTTGGAAGTAAACCTCCGGCTGGCATGACGATCGGGACGTTCTGTTGTTGACCCATTATCGCTGTTTACATTCATTATTAATTTTTTTGCTCCTAATTAATCATTACAAATTATTTCATTGTAAACCTTGAGTACTGGGAGGAAGGACATTTTGCTGCGGTTGGCCTAAGTTGGCCTGCCCCATGACATTCTGGTTGCAACCCAGCATCCTCAACTGGGACTGCTGCGGGACAGTCTGGGGCTGCTGGACTTGCTGCGGTTGCTGTTGGACCATTTGTGAATTCATACCTGCTGTCTGATTCATACTAGGTGAATCTAAAAAGGCAATATTTATGTTTATGACCATGTTTACATTTTATATTCTGTCAAAAATTACTTACTATTAAACTGCGGTGGCACAGATGTTGGTGGACGTGTAAGCTGTTCGATCAATGCTGAACCAGGTGTGCTGTACCTAGGCCCTTGAGGAGGCATCATGGGCCACCTTGAGCTAGGTGGACGCACGCTGTATGCTGGAGGAAAACCTCGGCCAGCTCCCGCTTGTCCTGGGGTTGTTGCAGTGACAACTCCAGCAGGGTTTGCTGCACCCTGAAATACAATACACAATTAAGTAAGTTATAGATTTTTTAAAAAAATAAATAAACTAACACTTACTGGAATAAGCTGAGCTTGTGGCTGACTTTGTTGTGTAGTTTGAGGTGGTGCACCTGGCGCTATGGGACTTCCATGGGATTGAATGGGACTAGGCAGTGGTGCAACATTGATGTTACTTAATGTTGGGCTCAATGGCCTTTCCTTTAAACTAAAAAAACGGAACAGTTTTAAAACATTTATGAAATACAAACATTCACATTGGGATTTAATTTTACCTATAGCCCTTCAAGAGGACGGAATGTCGAGGATCTTTGGCGTAATTTTTGGTTTGGGATGCAGTCAGATCGCCACCAGCTTTTTCAAACAGTTTGTACATAGCAGGTATCTTCCTCGGTGAAATAATCGAAAGGTGTATGGATTTCTATAAATTACAATAAGAATTCTGCCAAGAAAAGAAAATCATTGTACATAAAAATATCAAATTACCTCGTTTAAAATTGTAGCCAATTGTTCCGCACTGTTTCCGATGAACGATTGGTTTTCCATAACTGGCATAAGATATGGAGGAGAGTTGCATATTAAAATGCAGTGTTTCTGAGGAGTTAGGCCAACTTCCCTCCGCAGGATCAGATCTTCCAAGCATACCAAAGCAGATGCTAGACCTTCTGCAACGTTTGCATGAGACTCGGCCCTCCCGCCAACAAGCCTTAAACATACCCACTAATTAGAAACAATCCAATAAAATAAACAAACATTAAAAAAATTACTCTATTTTATCTAAAAGCTGAAGTATTTTATGGGGATTTGAATATGGCCCATAAATTTCTGTACTGGGACTTGGCAGTCGGTCTGCTGCATGGTAAATAACTATGCCATATAGTGCACTGGTGCTCTAAAAAATATTTATCACAATAATGAAATAAAAGTTTTTATTGTTAAGCAAATATTAATATAACATACCTCACTTATGAATTCCCTTTCCTCTAGATTACCTTGATTGAAATATCTGGAAAAAATATATTAATTAATACAACTGGGAAAAATGAATTCACACAAAAATTTATATACCAAGATGACAAAATATATTTTTTTGCATTACAGTCCAAATATAGCAAATGAATGACATTTTTACGAGTGAACTTATTAAATTCAAATTAATTGATATTTTGAACACAAAACATTTCTTGGCTTCACAATCAGGATACAAACTGTGCAAAACCAACCAAGGGTTCAGAAAATAGCCAGAATGGAAGCACTAAGTTGATAAGGCCAGTACTTTAAACTGCAGGAGAGGAAACTTATATTCGCACAGCTAATTAAGCATTTGGCTATATCGTAGCATAATCTGACCTCCTACTCTCAAATTGCCCAAACAATCCAAAATAGAATGTTATTGTTGATAACTGGGTCATCACAGTTCATTACGGAGAAGAATATACACGGTACACACTGATTAAGAAAGAAGTAATAAAAAGTTATGCAAAATCTTCTAAGCCCACTATCACCTTAAGTTCCATCAACACAACAAACATCAACTTAAATTGTAAAATTTCCTCCTGTGATCTGCAGGGTGATAAACCTGTCATTTGATCCTACCGATTAACTTGCTAAAAATCTAGAATCCTCCACTAGACAGAGGACAAAGATTTGGCCTTATTGACTCAGTGAAAGCAAATTAATACATTCAACAAATGGTATACTTCTTAGAATTGTATCCAAACTAGGAAATATTGACCACTATGAACAGTGATGAAAGTAATACAAATTTGTTGTTTGGCCATTTCAGACCATTCTGTTCTACCTATCCTCACTTTTTTTACTCATATATGTTTTGTTATTTCACCATCTTCAGTAATCTAAAATAAATAGTAAAAAAAAGCTGTTGGCTACAAAATAATAGTGAAATCCTGAATTGTATTATACAGATCAAAACAGCCTTATCAACCAGAAAATCATATTTTGATGACAGACAAAGAAACATAAGAAATATTCCAAAGGGTGAATGATATAGGATCGGATAAGAAGGTTAAGCAGGTAGGGCATGGTCGTCAGCTCTTGACTCTTGAGGTCTACAGGGTGAACCTAAACTGTTTCCAAACATCTTGGTGTACCTACCCTAGTTGGGTTGATCTGACAGATGCATTTAAGCATTTTCCCGTCTTCCACAAACCCACAGGCAAAAACAGCAAAGCTAGATCTGGATGAACAGAAACGACAAAATAAGTTCATTGCAATTAGGCACCAACACCTCTCCTCTCATGACCTCATAAAAGAAATGACTTTACAGGCTAACATAGACACACTGAAGATGGCGAATGCTGGAACATGTCAGGCAGATCAATCGAGCAAGAGTAGGCAGACCAAGATGATCCGAAACGCCAGTTTAGGTTCATCATCCTGCTGAACTGAAGAGGATGTGCTACTAGTTCTTAATTTTAAGCATCTAGTAATTTTTCATTCTTTATTTGAACTATTTGTTGTATTGTAATTGTTTTATATTTTAATCAATTTTGAAGTTCAACCCTTTGTTATAAGTATTCTATTCTTGTAAGTAGCAACATAGGATTTGTTGAAGACAAATTTACCTCTACCACCTTCTACGCATATGGTCTTCAGTGCTTGAACCTTGGGTCGATTGAGGGTGATGAGCCTAAACGTTCATTTCCTATCATCTTGGTCTACCTTCCCTCATTTTGTTGATCTGATACATACATTTTACCATCTTCAGAGTGTCTGTGTGAAGAGTCAAGTTTCTTCTATAAGCTCGTTTATAAGGGTTGGGTGTGGGGTAGGCATTATGTTTGTTTGTCGGTACCTAATTCGATGAACTTGTTTGGCCGTTTCCAATCATCCATGACTGCCTATCCTGCTATTTTAGTCTGTGAGATTGTAAAAGATGCCAAAACGCGCCTGACAGACCAACCCAGCGAGAATAGACAGCGCAGGTTGATCAGAAACGACCGTTAATTTCATCACCTTGCAGACCTCAAGGCTCAAGAGCTGAAGACCATATCACACCAGCATACAGGACAAAGGTAAGAGAGGTATATTTATCTTCAGCAAATCTTAAGTTGTTTCTTCGAAGAATACAATTCTTACATCAAAAGGTTGACCTTCAAAATTGATCAACATAAATAACAATTACAATACAACAAATGATTTGAAGAAAGAAAACAGCGTAATTTGACCCTTACCGATTATCTTGAGTTACCCTCACTAAACCTAATCCAGTGAAGAAAGGGGATCAAGATGAAGGATCAAGGTTTTAAGTATTCAATAAATAAGAACACCATTAAGGGTTTAAATATACATTTGATTTTGAGTAATGAGCTTTTGAATGAACTCATCCCAGGCATTTCTCTTTCAAGATGCAATCTGAGGTATTTATTAACTGATCCTTGTTCTGCTTGTTTTCTAGGATAGCTTACCTAGATTTATTTGAACACAGTGAAGCGACAACAAAAAACATCTATTGTAAAATGGACAATTATACGTAAAACTAATTTAATTGTTTAAAAGAAATTTGTTTTTCTTATTTCGGGGAAGATAATTAAAAAAATGTTGTTAATTAATAATGAAGTTCTTGAATATATTTTCTGATTTAACTATTGATGACAATTTATCAGTATTTTGATGAATTTTGTTTGGGAAAAAATAGTCAAAAATAGTTGTTAATTTTTCCAAAATAATTATCAATTCGTTTATCAAAGTCGACTTACTCTAAAGTCGGAATGATGTAGTTGGTTTTGATGTCGTTGAGATACGCCCCGTTGAGTCCTGTCCCTTCTATCACGAAGATGACATCGGCCAGGGAGCATATTTCCGACTGCGCCACGACCATTTTGGCCAGGTTTGCGAATTCGTCCCGTAAGTTAGTTACATCGCAGTGTTAAATAATAAAAATAACAAATTAATCGCGCTGGTAGTGTTAATAAATATGTGTATGTACTCAAGAGGTTGGAAACAACAAGTCGGCCTGTAAACAGATAACGAGAAGTCGGATTGGGGACGAATCGCTTGAGTTTAACCTTATTCAAGTTAGTTGGACTGGGCCACACCAGGTGTAGTTGTGACAGGCTCATAAGAAAAAAATAAAAATAAAAGAAGGATAAAATGAATAACGGATACATTTATTATTTAACACATATAAATCTATTTCATTTTATTGTTTATTACAAATTTTTAAAGGAGCAACGTTCAATATTTAAATTTCTAAAACCTCTACCATCAAAAAGTGTGTCTAACCTCATCAAAAAAATTGATATTACACTGAGAATAAAAAAGTGTCCATGTATTGCATACAATTCCGCTACTAAAAATACAATCGGCCTGCTCGATACAATACACGGTTGATCACAGGTGCTGTCCGGAGCAGTCCTTCGTCTAGCCTTCATGCAGATGCTGAAGAAATGCCTAAGTTTCAGACGTGACTTTCTTGATTTGAAGTTTTTTGCTAAAATCACTTCCTCTAAGTTATACCCACTAAATCGTCTATTTCCCTGGATCTAATGTTTGACAACTCATCACGTGATTCTATACGAAAAACCTTTCCCATCCGTACATACACACTCTTGCACGAATTACAAATACCCATACCTCCAGTACAAAAAGAATCAATGGCTCCCATCTCTCCCTGGACATTTCCCAAACCGAAAATTTTGTATTCACTTGGAAAATATTTACACCTTTTCATACCAGCAGGAGTTTTTGAAAATAAAAAACGCATTCCCACAAGCGTCTTTTTCTATACGGATGGATCAAGACGTGTGAGCTGCGTCTATATGTGGCCCTAACAAATTTCTTTCCTCTCTGCACCATTTCTGTAGCAACAATAGCGTCGAGCTACTAGCTAAGTCTACTACGCAAGTCTCTAAATTTCATGTGTTCCAATAACAATAGTAGCTAACTGATTTGCTCTGATGCAGAATCTGCCTTACATGCCTTGGAACACCCCTATTCAGATGATCCCAATGTGCAGCAGTGTTGGGCAAAAATTAGTCATGTCTAATGATTAATGATTGATCACTCAGACCGTTAGTCATGATTGGTAGTAAGTGACTAATTTAGTCATTAGTCGCCATATGTGATTGATGGCTAAATTAGTCATGACTAGTAATTAAATACGAGGCATGACTAATTTAGTCACAATATAGTTAGTCATGACTAAATTTCGATAAATCATGTTCAAATGGGTGCTCAAAAAATGAAAAATACACTTCATCACTTTTAAAAAATTTTCTAACAGAAATTTATTTCATCAAAACGAAAATCCTTCAACACCTTATTTAACAAAAATCAATCTTCCAATTATAAGTAAAACTCCGTCGTTATGAAAAGCCAAAAAATAATGATAATGATAATAATAATAATAAAATAAAATAAAAAAATCCTAGAACAAGCTACGCTTTGAAAAGTAAATATGTTTACATAACCGATCAATGGAAAAAATATTTCTTTGAATTAAAATTTATTCCACTTAAAAGGAGAGATTTCTACATTATTTGGAAAATACACCATCTAGGGGTCTTGATTGTAATAAAATAGACATGTAGAATAATTATGTAACTTTGGTTTTCGTTTATGATAACCATTTTTGAAGGTTGGCCTTGAGCACGACTCTCATCTCAAAATTTTTATCCGGAGTCGGTTGGATTTTGGTAAGTTGGTCATTGTAGCCAGAGTTGGGCAAAATCAAACTAATTCAATCATGATTAAACTTCAATCAAAATTCTTAATCATGATTGAATTAGTTAGATTTTGCCCAACTCTGATGTGCAGGAGGTCTTGGCGTCACTGGGCGTAAATATTAAGGGAAACCATTTGGCAGATAAAGCTGCAAAAGAAGCAGCCATTACAGGCTTTCAAATCAAGGACGTCCCAAAGGGTGTTATGACTGCAGTTTACAAGTCAAAAGTTAAGGGTTAATGGAAACAGGTCTGAACTAATATACGTGAAAACAAACCACGGGAAATAAAGTACTCTGTAAATGCTTGGCCTACTTAATTCAGGAATAGTAGAAGGTGGTTCTTGCTCGATTGAGGATTGGACACTAGAGCCACTAAGGGTCATTTGATGGCGCGATATGCACCTCCAATTCGCGGAATGTGCAATCAGATAATCACAATCAAACATATTCTTACGTATGCACATCATATACAGCCCATAGACTTCTGCACTACTTGCCTATAAGCATCCAAGAAATATTAGGCGATAACCACGATAGTATACGTAATTTGTTTAATTTTCTCAAACCAGCAAGTCTACTCGACAAAATATAATATATATATATCCTCTATTGATTATCTTACAGCAATAAAGCTATTATAGCTATACAGCAATATTACAGCAATTTGGTTTGTTTTAAAGGATTAGAGGTAAATAAAGCACAGATAAAATCTTCCATTTGTGTTTACAAGTGGATATTGTAATAAATCTTTGAATAGTGAATCTCTTCTTTGTTCGTTTTTATGTAAAACTTCTTTCTAATTTTCCAGTGGTTTTATTTTTTAAGATGTACCATTTTTAAGTTTCAGATTTGTATAAGTAATACAGATTCAGTGGAATCATGGCATTGCTGGAAAATGGAAGAAGTCAAGCGTAGAAAAGATAATGATGGGGTGAGTATGTTCTTCAACTACTTTAAAATTTAATTCTTAGCCAAATTTTGTGGTTTTTAACAATCCGGATTTCAAGCATTAAACGCTCATCGTCGGGTGAAGAGTTAGTTACAAACACATCTCTCCACGTAAATTGTTAGGTCTATTCACACATATCAGTGACGTGACAGTGTCCTGACAGGCATTTGGTTCCACCGGCGCGTTAGAAAATATTATTTTTGGAAACTGTCGCCCGGTGCTCGACCATGGCCGTGCCAACAGTGCTGCCGTTCTCACCGGACCGTGATCGTGGGATTTCTTGTTGACGATATTTTACAGTTTTCACGGCCGTACAACATGAATGTCGAAAAACTCATTGAATTGATGCGAAATAATCCTGTGTTGTTTGATCAGGCAAATTCAAAATATATGGACTCAGATTTCAAGAATTTTCTCTGGCGGAAAATAGGTAAAAATGGGCATTTGATAACCACGGGAGAGATCCAGCATCAGAACTGAAATAATCGGTGAATATTTTTCATACACGAAATGCATCTGTCGTTGCTTTCCCTCCCTGTAAATGTAAATTTTGTAGTGTTCAACTTTCACTCTTTGAATCCACTTGGGAAGTAACGTAATTAAACGTGCGTATATCGTATTTCTTAATATATTAAGAAGTTTAAGTCTTATGTAATACAGCAAGCAAAATTTGGCTTCATCGTCCCTAATTCTTTTTAAAGTGAAGCAAATTCCCCTTCTTTTTCTCTTTTGTAACACTCCCGTTTTCTCGTCTGTGGGTCATTCTTCTGCGATAATTAAAAGTTCATCACCTGAAAACATTGCCATTTTGGCCACTCAAGTCCAGCAAGACATTGATGAAATACTGACCAGTGTGACGTGAGGGCCTTGTATGATCACAGTGGCTGCGAATAATGGCCGTCACGACACTGTCACGTCACTGATGGGTGTGAAAAGTGTACCCACCGATCCACCGCCAACGTGATGATCCAATGAGAAGCTGATTTTAATGCCGCTCAATTTTGATCGTGCAAAAAACGTGAACAACACAACTAAATACTATCCTAATAAATACTGAAATAATATTAATAATAATAATAATAATGTTAAATTAGTTATTAATTTGTATGCCCAATATTATTTAGGTACATGCTTAAAATAGGAGGTAGATCTGTTTTATTATTTATGCATTTATCTCATAAACGGTTGAGGGACGACTCAGAAGCACTTTGCGTCTTCCAAATCAAAATTTCTGGTTGGGAAAGAAGCAGACCACTTCCGGACGGTGTTTTCAACTGAATATCATCATAATACACATCACAAATTTTGCCAGGAGCCTGAACTGCCGTTTTTCTTTCGCTGTAATATAAAACCATTAATTGAAGAAAAATACGCTAATTTCCTTTATTTTTAATTAACAAAATACCTTGTAAAAGAAAACACAGTTTCAACTTCACAACATCCCTTCATGGATGACTCAAACATACTAAATAACGTGCCCAAGTACCGAATAATTTTAACATTTTATGAAAATTGTTTTGTATATACACTTTATATAAGCACATTATTGAATAAAGACCAGGTCGAATCTGTGGACGTTCCACCTGTGTTCAACCAGTTCAAATATTTAAATAAAACATAATACATTTCATATTCTAACGGGTTGTTAGTTAACAGTTTAACGTCAATTGTGTTGTTCACTTAAATGTTACTGTTACCTTTATATTGTTTCTGTCTGTCTGTCTCTCTCGCTATTTTCTCTTACGCTGTCTCTTTCTTTTTCACTGTCTCCCCATCTCTCTCTCTCTCTCTCTCTCTCTCTCTCTCTCTCTCTCTCTCTTTCTCTTTCGCTGTATTGATCTCTTTTTTCTCTTTCTCGTTAAATTGTTAAAGGTAAAAAGAGATAAATGTACGTCAAAATTAGTTGTGTGCGCAGGAAGAAAGGACATGAGTGTCCTGTACTATACACTTGTTAAATAAAAGTGTTAAATTTTATCTGTATCTCTTTCTCTGTTTGCCTGTATGTCTGTCTGTTTGTTTCTCTCTCTCTCTGAATTTATTGTTTAGGTTCAACATGTACTCTTACAATGATTTATTAGCGAAAAGTTTATATTTAACTACCTGAAAAACGAATATTCAATCACCCGATTATTATTTACAAGTATGGACAAAAAGAGCGACTTTTTAGTCGGTGATATATCAATCTATACACTTTTGATAATTATCGAAGAGTGGAATCGTTTAGTTTTAGTTCCATAAAAAAAAAATATATATATAAGGATTACGGCATAAAATCTTCGATTTTGTGGCTTATCTAACAGAAAACGCTTTAAATGGATTGCACACCTCACAGATTCGTTTTGAAGAACAGTTTCTGGACGACTGTCGCAACGAGGATAATCTACTTTAATACGCTTTTATAAG